ACAATGAAAATATATGCCACAAGCCATGATAAGATGAAAACCACTCTTGCATTCTTAATTTTTTGTTTTTATTTCTTGCCTTGGGTTTATTCTCATTTATTCTCCCTTTTCCTCCCCTCTCATCCATCAGACCATTTGTCCCCCATCATCCATTATTGTTCTGTCTCCACACAAGTTCATTTATATTTTGTTTGTACATGTATTTCATTTGTGGTTTTAAGTCTGTCTATGTTCTCATGTTCATTGTTCTTTCTCTGTGATCATTCAGTGATTATGTTTGCAAATTCAGCGCAGAAATTGATTCTAAACTCCCCTCTCACATTTTTCAGTCTTCCTAAATTTGGCAGGAACTTTTTGTACATGTATTTACATTGAGCTTCCATGACAATTGGAATTTCATTATTTGAATTATCAAACGCTTTAGGTCACTCTGTGCTGGAGTTGTGAAGCATTTTCACAAACTTGTGGGTTTCCATTACATTCATGTGTGTTGATTGTGTGTGATATTTTCAATCTGTTCCGTTCAACTATTCAACCTCGTCAATTGTCCAACAAAGTCACATAATGCTGATATTAAGAAAAGGGCTTCAACTTGTACCAACTTCAAAACACATGTATGTATACCTCCAACCTGTAAACTATCATGTAATGCCTCCTCCTTTTAACATGTCAAAATTCTGCCCTTTGTATTCAAACTTTTCATACATGCTCAATTTCCATTTTCTAAAGCTATATCAATGTTCAGTGTAGGAGTGTATTTCATGCAAATTCAAATCGACCCACAAAGGGCAGTGGTAAATTTTGAAATTACCATTAACATATTTTATTTACACATTTAGATTGCACAAATTACATACAGTTTTCACTATTTAGATGGTATATAAGCACACAGCAGAACATTACTTGTTTGTAAAGATCCAAAATAACATCTTTTCATGAATATATTGCACAAATCACCCGCCCCTTCCCCTTCCTTCCTCCAAGATATAACGATAATTCCACAGAGTGTGAAAGGTGCCTGATGTGTGTGTTTTTAGCGAGTGTGAACAAAGCAATCGATTTGAACTGGTATATGAATAGTAAACAAACAATTAATCACTCTTGTTGCATCTATGCAGATTAAAATATATTTAATTTTCTTAACTAATTGGAATTCTGGACACTAACCAAATATTATATAGCTGTGTGATATATCTGTACTCTTTCTGTAACTTTCTAGTTAATTGAGAACTGACACTATTAACTTTTTCCTTCAATGTCAGATATTTTGATGTTGCAAAGATTCTCATCTTTTAATAATCACACGTTCCAATTGACAATAGGCATGAATTCAATTCAGACATTCTCATATCAAATTTAACTCAGAGACTTAATAGATTGTAATGGCAAAAAAATGAGGTTTTACATGATAATGTGAAACCTTGTAACTTAATGAGTGGTTAATATGTTGTTTACTGTTTGAAATTGTTGTCATCGTTGTGGTTTTCATCCAATTCTCTCCCCTCATAAACATGTTTTCACTCCCACTCATTACATACATCAATTGGTACTATTAGAAATATCTATTGTCATACATATTTATTGTCTATCTATTTTTTATCCTGCATACAGCAAAAAAAGAAAGCAAGAACAAAAAAGTTAATTATTTGAAATAGCACTTTAAAACATCCAAAGACATTGTAAATATCTGCCACATTTGAGCTAGGTATCTGTTTTTGTGCCTTGTTCTCTCTCTCTCTCTCTCTCTCCCTTTCTTTTGTCTTCCTTTCCCTCTTTTTCCCCCTCTTTTTTTGATTCTCAATTTTGATACTTCTAATGATGGACTTCCTCCGCCCTAAGCAGCGAGAAACCTAGAATATTAACCAACATAATTAGTAAGCATAGATATGTATTCAAATGATTTGACAGATGTTTATCGTTGAAGCACTGCTGCACCGGAGTTGTGTGTTATCTTGCACCTTGCATCGTTGTATTGCACTCGATTCTGTTCTTTTGTGATCTGCACTTATATTTTCTGGTATTTTCTTCCAGCACTTTGCAGTTTTTACTATCTCTACTTTGCTTGCTTGAATTGGTATCTAAAAAGTCTTCTTTAATAACAAAAGAATATCCTAGTTTTAAAACAAATATTTCAAATTAACAATAATAGAATATAGGATTCAAAAAATATTTGCTAAGGTAAGAATTTGCAATTTAGAACTGAACATTTGTAGGAATTTTCTAGCTTTATTAAATTTTGCCTCACAATTTTATATGCTGTCTTTGAAAATATCAGGCAAGTGTTATAAACTTAGGTTTAATACTGCTTTTTTGTACCTGATATTTCTTTACAACACAATTTTGTTAATAAAAAAAAATGCTAAAAACCAAATCACTGCCTTCGCAGCAAGTAGTTGATAAATATTCAATAAAAAAAACCCCAGCACATTAATTTTCTCTCAAAATATTAAAGCTTTTATCACAAAGAAATGAAAATAAATTAAATGGAAATTTAAAAAAAGCCTTGCTGCCTGCCATGTACCGCACGTGTCTGCTACTACCTTGTATGCACACTGCCCTCTACCTTCGCATTCCTGTCACATACCTTGCATGCTTTCATCGTTTGTGTCAATGTAAGTTTCCTTTTTGTTTGATTTATTTCCTCTATCTGTTGATTAATGCATGTGTTTAATGTCGGCATGTGGTATAATTTATTAGTTTCAATGTATTTATTTCTTGTTGGTACATATGTATTGTTGTATTAATTTGTTTAAAGTTTTTTCCTATAGCTTTTTATTTTGCAAAGTTAAGGTTTTGGGTAAATCTAACACAGACTTCATCATTCGATATGTTTTTTTTTTCTCCCTCTTTTTCTTCTTAACAATGAACTTAACCTGCGAAATATATGTATGTACCGGTAGGAATTTTAGGATGTAATATCAAATGCAAGGTCTTTTTGAATTTGTATATTTGGTATAAGAAAATAGTACATACATGTATTAGCCTAAATATTTCTTATCAAAGGAGCTGATTTTGAGCAAACGATAGTACGAGCAGAAAATTGATTTGTGCTTTGATAACAGAGATTTCTAGAAAATCTAGAATTAATTTTAAAGAGATATTTAATTAAATGAGCCATGGAATCACTTTGATGTGAATTTCCTTTGAAATTGGATTCTTTCAATAAGTTCGGGATAATTTAAGATAAAAGTATTTGTGAAAATACCATGTGCGCTATTCTTATTATGTAAGATTGGATATCAAGTTTGCACTTGTATTTGTTTAAGATGTGTATTCTAGTTACTGACAAATGGGGGTTTCAAAAACAATTTTGTACTCTAATGAGAAATCACAAATTTTCAGAATGGTAATGTTTCTGTAACGATATTCAGGAGTTTTCTGTGTTGTGTTAATGCATTTTTCACAATTTTCTTTACCTGTATGTACATGTATGTGCATCTGCGCTTTGTTCTGAGAATTTGATTTGCAACAATGAAATTGCATGGTTATTTGATATTATGTTCTTATGTATTTTTGTATTGTACCCAGAATGCGTTATGTGGAGTGAGGTTATATCATTTCCGTTTCTTTTCTTCTCTAACTTTGTTCATCACATTTTTTTGTCCCTTGTTTTCTTTCAAAATCTTTCTGAAAACTTACCTTTTTTATTGAATTCTGATTTGGATTTGGCAATTTTTTAAAACAAAAATCTATGTTTTCTTTTCCCAACTATTTTTTTGAATTATACAAATAAAATCATGATATATAAATAATCTCAAAACAGGCTGTGGAAGTTGTCACAGCACAATTTTGTCATATATTTTCATCACTTCGGACTACCTTATTTTGCTCAGGCAATCGACTATAATGTTTTTTTAATAGAAGGAAGTACAAATAGAATGTGATCAAAATATAAACAGAACAAGCAAATTTGTTCCAAACATCATTGTGATGATGCAGATTGGTTAGTTTTATGAAACTTTAACCAGATTGTAAATATTTTTTGTTGACTTTTCAGAAAGCACATTATGATATGACCTCACTTCAAAGTTTGTTGTTGATTTGATAAAAGAGTTTTCAGTGGAATGGCAATTTGGAATAAATTGAGATATGCTTCCCTATTAACTTTAAGAGAAAGAAGGAAGTTTAAAAAAAGCTTGCTAATTGTATTATATTCATATTTAGCGATTTCAGTAATTTCTTCAATTGATCAGAGACGATCACTTGAATCCTTCAGTTGCATATCACAGGCAGAATTTGCTATTCCACTGGTTTTATTAAAGAGTTATCAGAGCTTTATATATCACAGAATGGCTGTGATTATGTTGTCTGCATTGTATAATGTAAGAAATGCTTTATGGATTTTTGAATGTAAATATATGGTTCTTTTCTTGATTGATATCATCTAGTGTCATTAAAATGTTTGAAGTCAGAAATATTCCTTGATTTTAGAATAATTGTCCAAAGGAAGGAAGAACAATTTTTTTGTGCATTCAGTTTTGCTTTCAATATCATTAGACTCTCATAAGCTGAATTTTTGTAAACAGGAAAGGCCTAATTTGACGTGAAAACGAGACAGTTTGTACTTTCATATCATAATGACAATTTACTTTTAAATTCGTCCACGTTTACAGCAACAATAGCATGATGATATATCTTGAATATGTGATGAATAGAAATAGTAAAATCATGTCAGTATTTTTCATTTGAGGTACAATATATTTTGAATAATTCAAGTTGAGGACAGGAAGGATGAAATACTTCCCTTACCACTAGAAAAAAGAGCTTTGTTCTGCTTCTCGTTTGTTTCTGTGGGGCTGTTTGTTGTCATAGATTTGATTATCTGTATATGTACTATTAAAAACAATATATTGAGGTTGTACTTTGATGTATTACAAGAGGTATTGAAACTAATCCTTTGTTTGTTCTTCTCTTTTTTTGCCCCCCCCCCTCCATTCAATTTTAATTTCTACTTAATCCCTCCCCCCCCCCCCTAAAAAAAAAAATATATATATATATAGGACTCCTCTCATGAGGCAGAGTCAAGTGACGGAGAGGATTAATAATCATCCGCAATACGATCCCTGGTCGATGATGCAGACATCGCCATCGATGTCTCTGTCGTTCCCATCTTCATCATCCTCATCGTCTTTGAGATCCATGACGTCACCCCCACCATCAAGATTTCCCTCATCGCCAACCCCAATGTCATCATCATCGTCGCATCGATCCCTGTATCAGCCGGCGTCGCCATCACCGTCGTCGTCATCAATGAAGTCCACCTCCGTGTGGGAGCCATGGCAGTATCGTTCTTTGGATAGGTAGCATAACGTTTTGGGGGGATTCACACTAGCCAGCTGTAATTTGCATGACTGCTTAATTAGCATGTCCCTATTCACACGCAGCTATTACGTAAGGGTCATTCACATATGGCGCGGTAATCACCTCAAAAACGCCGCAGCAAACTTTAAATATTTCAAGACTTGAATGGCAAGTGGGAGGCGACAAAATTAGCAACCCACCTAGACAGCGTAGTCCTTCTGCTTGGAGAAGTTTTTACCATCTTTCGACTATTGCCATTTAAGCCAGAATCGGTCTCAGCGGAACATATTACATGTATTCCCAAATGAAATAGACTGATTTTTCAGTCCACCACATGACTCTCTATAAACTCGCCTATACCTGATGCAACATGCGTAAATGTGAAGCGCACTATGTTTGCACTGTATGTCATTTTATTTTGCTGTGCCAGGATTTTGAAGCTGTTTACCACTTCATGTGTGAATGTACCCCTAGGAGGCTGATCTATGTGAAGCTCTAGACTTCTTCTGAAATACTGAACATCAGCTGACGATATACCTTCCATCTTGTCCTTAAAAACCTCAATAAGTTGTATTGGCAACTCTTTGTCTGTACCACCCACAACTCTAATACCCAAGCCACATGACCAAACCAACTACAAGTCGACCGATAACGATAACCAAGAGCATTTTGTCCATTTGGGGTAGTGTAATTTTTGTTTGGTCTATGGTCGATCTGGTGTTGGTCTTGTCGGGGGTGTCTTGCGGATAAAGTGTTTGAAGCCCAAAGATTTTTTATGACTGAACAGTAAAGAATCTGACTCATTGTAAGCCTCCCCCACCCCTCAAAACAAGATATGTCATGAAGATCAAAAAGTACCGGTGGCTGATACATGTATTTTCCATTTTATAAATGTCATAGAACTAAAATGCTGCAACTCCATGTATTTAGTCTTCTAGGGATAATTCTCTCATTTCTTTACACAGTGTAGTATGTGAATCTGTACTCCCATATTTGTATTTTGCATTGCAAGCATCAGATGCGATAGCTGGGAGTTCCACCATTTCGTCAGTATTAATTTTAGAACAATTATTCAACAGTCGCCCAATAATACCCATGCACCATTGTATTATTTGTATATCGAGGACTAGAAATGGGGAAGAGCTCAAGATTAGCTTTAATGAACTGCATGTTAGGTAAGGACGTTCCACAGTAATGTTAGAGCGTACCTTAGCTACGCAGGGCCAGCTGATCATGTATTTACTATGCGCAATACCAGAAACTTCAGGCGCTGTGCATGGTGAATACATAACCAGCCGCCCTAAACTGCTAAGGTGCACAGGAACAGTACTGAGGAACACCTTAAAACAAATTTCATGGTCTCCCCTCCTTCAAGGAAGTCTAGCATTTAAAGCACGGTCTTGATGTACATGTGACTCTTTTCCATCCTGTTTCAAAATTATGCAATTTAGAAATTAAAGTGCACTTGTCTATTAGAAGATTTAGAAACAAAACACCTTCAAAAAAAAAGCGATGGTATGGTATATTTTTTACCATACATTGACCTTTAATTTTACATAGATTGATATAATTGTTATCCTGTAATCGTTGTAATATATATACTTACTAAACTGATCATGATGCAATAGTGAAATCGTAGTGCTTAGAGATTACCGGTAGTTGTATTGTCGATGAACAGTATGGTTGTGAGAATTACATGTATGTATGTAAATAATAATTTTATTGGGGAGAGCATTAATTCAACTTGTATCTGTACATGCTTGGTGTGATATACTTTGTAAATCTACATCAAATTAGGATTTCTCTAATCCAGTAAAACAACAAAAATGGAGGAACATGTAACAAAAGTGAAATGCCAAATTGTAAACGAAAGAAATGATTTTGAATTCCACATCTCGGCCAACTTTAGATTTGTATTAACTCTAAATTATGTTCCTGCACATACCCATATGCACTGCTTGATAAAATCAAATTATCCATGTATCATATCAGCTCATTTTGCACATTGTCTCTTATGGGATGAATTTGAGTTGTGCCATATCCCATAGTTTTATGGTTGACATTAATTAGATGCCTAGAACAGAAAGTCAAGAATGACGATTGTAATGAAGATAAAGTTCAGATAACGCAGGCTTATACAACCTGCAAGTGTACTACATGTATGATTGTAGTATTTTTAAAAATTATTTAAACTGTAATATTGTTTATGTCAAAAGGTGCTACCAATAAATTAGGAAATTTCCTAAAGACAGTTGGGATTCAAAAAGAAATTTCTTGCCATAGATAACAGTGCCAATTGATTTTTTTTTCTTCTCCAAACTTTCTTGTACAGTTAAACTTAGAACAACTCATTTCTTTGGGTAAAATGATGAGACATGATAATAATTCTTTAGTTGTGATTTCAAGGATGGTACATTACTCTTCTTGTATGAAGAAGCTTTGCCTTTTAAATTGGCTATTTAGTTTATATCCTTGTACTCTTTATAAAGAGTTGAACATGTAACTTTTTCCTGTGAAAACTAAACTTTCTATGGCTTGTATTTGTTCAGATATACATGTAAGGAGAGAGATTAATTGAAATCAACTCTAGAAAGAATAAAGACATCTGCATTTTTTAAATTATATAGTAGACCACACATTGATCAATATCATTGAGATCAAATTTTGATAAATTTAGAGTTATAGCAATTATAGTTCTCCCCCATACTGGGCTCTATGTTCAGAACTGTATTTTATCATTTCCAGATCAATTCTTTGGATGTATGTATACGGCATTTCATCTCCCTCTTATTTAGGACTTATAGAATAGGAATATTAATAACAAAGTCTTTGAAAGATCTTTTTAATTATTTGCATGTATTTCATGTGTAGGATGGAATGTAACCTTCTATTATTATTTTTCAATAGTAATTAATCAATTATCTAATTACTAATTTTCATGCATTTTTCTTTAACACCAGTACTACAGGTTAGAAAAAGTATGTGTGTGTTTACTGTTTATTCCGATAATGTCAGTTTCTTGAATTTCTTTTGAAGAGTATTTAATAATCTTCATAGAATTTTCATTTATCATTATTAATCACAACAAAAATCCAAGCATGGCATTGTTTTGAAGTTATTACTGATGTACACAGTAATAAAATAAAAATGTATAGTACATTGTAGTTGAGATTGTATTAACGGAATCCCTGATATTCAAACTGTATATAAATTTTGGTTTTCATAGTATGCCCCATCCTGCAAAAAAACCCCAGAAAATTAGGAGGTTTATTAGATCTGTATGGTAAACAAAGTAAAGGTCTATGCAATAAATAGGATTATATAATAGGTCAATATCTATGCAATCGATATTAGATATTGGTTGATTATGCTTGTACACTGTATGTCCCTGAAAATGTAAAAATGACCAACATTGTGAGTGTTTTAGAAAATTACAATTCATTGTCTATTCCCTTGCATATACATGTACATGTATGTTAATTAATTACTCTACGCAGAAGATGAATTAGTATTTATATAATGTACTATTTGTGGAGAAAATCTAGATGTTCTAAGTTAATGCTATTAACAAGGGTTTGTGTAGTCGTAAACATGTTACATATTTATTTCATTATTTAAAGGAAGATATCATCCAGATGAATATCCCTTTATACATGTACATGTACATGTACATATGCACAGGGTACTTGCATGAAAATTTGACAGTTTAGTCAAACTATTTTACTAACAAAAGGAAGTAATATTAATAATAATATGGATTTTGTATAGCACTATAAATGAAAAAAACTGTGATGTCTCTGAGCGCTTTACAGATATCATTATATGAAAAATCAGGGCTGGAGGTAAAGTGATGGCCATGTTTTATCACATCCATGGGCAAAATCTCTGTACATTCATATTTCTAGGGATGTATTGATGTTGAATGATGTGTTACGAGTACAGTGCATGATAAATTTGGACGAGTGCAGCTTGAGTTCTAGCCAGTGCTAAACAGGAGCGTAACTAGATGTGTGGAGTAACCCCCCCCCCCCCTCCCTCCCCTCCCAATAGCACATAACAAACATTTTGTCTGGAAATTTAATATTTTCATAGATTGTTGCCAAATCTTTAAAAATCAAAACACATGTTTACCCCTTTTTCTGCATGTTCCTTGTTCTTGTTGGCGAATGTGGTTTGACACCTCCCCCCCCCCCCCCCCCCTGTTCAAAATGATCTAGTGATGCCCCTGTGTGGGCGCTTTAATGATAGAGATAGAGTACACCAAAGAATTCTGAGCAAAGGAATTTAGTTGAGTGTTTATGACACATACCGGTACATTTATGTGGGAAGTTTTAATTGAGTATGTTCTAGAATTTTGTAAATGATGGTGAAATTAGAGAACTGTTTTAATCGTGTGAGGTGTGTGAAATTTGGTGGTTTATGCGAGTCTGATTATGAGAATATGACAAGCATGCATTAGTTTGTCTCTTTTTTTTTTTTTTTTCATGTTACAGTCACGTGTGGTCAGAAAAATCAAGGGGAACAAGAAAAGCCGTCTATTGGGAACCTGATTTTACATAAAATCTTTTGTTCATATGGCAGGATTAATTAAGAAAAATTGTATATAAGAAACAGTGAAATGTGTATAAATGCAGTTGGTCTTCATAAACTGTTTTCCACGTTTCACAGGATTGTCAGGAAGTAAAAAAAGTGGTATATAAAGTCCTCTACAGAAAGTGGATTTTTGCTAGCTAGGACAGGGTTGACTACATTATACACTCAGCAAAAAAAAAAAGGAAAAAAGTGGAGACTATTTATAATTAAGATTTTCAAATAAATGTTTAATATAAAGATATCTTTCATATCTCAAAATCAACAAATGAATCCTCTTTAAGATGTTATGCAATTGGAATCATACTTTTCAAGCATGAGTGAGCATAGCCATTTATTTAAAAAAAACAGGATAAAAAGTCTTTGAAAAATTGCAAAAATTGGGCGCCTGGTGGTCAACATTTTACTATATTAAAGCAGACATTCATTTACCATACCTTGTATATTCTGACACTTGTGATCATTACTGGTATTACCAAATACCAAACTTACTGTATTTGTCATCATTTTTTTGAATGGTTGTAGCCTAATTAAAAACATGTTTTTGTGTTTAATATTGAGCTACAGGTAGAATGGATGTATGGAAGTTGTACTATGATGTACTATGGGTAGCTAGCAAAATGCAGTCTCTAGAAAGTTTTTGTAAATATAATATACCTTATCTCTTCCCTGATTTATCACATGTTGTTTTATTTAACTGTAATAAAGATCAACTTATGACTAACCAAATGAAGACTTTCTTCTGTGCTTGATTTTTAGTAAGTGGTTGATTCAATAAACCAGTTTACAAACATATTCAAATGTATGGATGTTTCTTTCCTGGGGACCTAGTGACAAGTTATTCCATTAACCCGATATTAATGAATGAACTACAATACTTGAAATGCAGTCTGCATACTGCTATGTTGGGATGCCTCGGGCAAGCCTTCAGGTTTTCAAGAACAACCTTTGTTTAAAAAGTATGCATAAAATTTGAATGTGTTGGTAAACAGGTCCATTTCATTGAAATGAAAATATTTGGTGACAAACTGTCTTTGTACTAGCTATCATCCCCAAGACATGTAAATGTAATAATAATTCTGTATGGATAATGTCCCCCCCCCCCCCCCCTTGTAACCCAGTGGGTCAATCACTTTGGGGGTCATTTTGGCTGGATAGCTGTTGTCCATGTGTGAAATAATCAAGAGATACTTAAACTGGTGTCCTGAAATGGAATAACTAAGTTATTTGTCCAGATTTGTTCTTCTTCTTGAGAATATGATACGTTGAAAAGCTTATAATTTTTTTTTCAACCAGTCCACCTATCGTTCTTGGTTACAAATCACACGAAAACATAAAATCGTCTATTTGGAGCCACGAGAGTGTTAACTCATGCAGTGTATATCACAAAGTTAATGTTCTTCTAGCTGGCTCCAAACATCCAATATATTCCCTAAAAATAAGACAAATATTAGGAGGCGCAAATAATAACAAAAATAAAGTTATATACATTTTAGATTATGATTTATTTGTAATAAGATACAATGTACAACATTTTTTTAAAGTATAATACACATATACAGCCTTCAAAAGTGTTTTTGATAAACAAACATTTTTCATTTACAAGCATATATGTACAATATTTACAAGTCTATGTACAAGTTTAAGCCCCTCTAAAGTGTTGGGAGCCCTCAAAAATTTGATGGCCAAATTTCTCTTAAATTGTATCGTAATGTGAAAGAGGATGTCATTTAAGACACATTTCTGCGAGGATTTTCAAAACAAATGTGTTTGAAGTCAAATGTACAAAATTTAGGTTTTCTGTGTACAACAGAAAACCCAAATTATGTATTCTTTTATCAATATTTTTCTTCAAACACGTTATTGGGGGGAAATATTTAGGGAAATATTTGGGGCCGGGGCTCCCAACACTGTAGAGGGCTTCAATTAATTACAAGTATTTAAAAAAAAAATCTTTTCAATTTTAATAAATGATTAATATGAATTTATCTATTGTCTGATATTTTCTCTTCAGTAGTCAACAAGCCTTCAACAATATCCATGTGTGAACTAATAGTAGAATTTTATCGGTGAAGGTCAGGACAAGTTTAGAATCTATCTTTATTTACCTAAGATATATTTGCTATATTACATAATCAATCTGCAAATGCAGCTAGAAACATAATAATTCTTGAAACTATTTCATTCTCTCCTAAATTAGGTATCTTTTATACAACATCAACATTGAATATTATTGAATATATAAAAAAGATCGACCCAAGGTTATTCAATATTGTGGTCTCGTGATTTTGGCCAACAAGTTTGACTACATTAAATCTTAGTCTTTTAATTACAGAAACACACAAAAACATATACATGTATATGCATTAGATGTGTTTCATTCTACAAAAAAGGACACACAATTTGTAATCTGTAGGCAAAGACTCGCCAGCTTCTGTTATCCTCTTCAAGTATAGAAAATAATTTTTCAAGTCTCTATAAGAAAGCAGTGTTGGTGCATATGTGAATAGTGATTAAATATAACTCAAGTGTGTGTACATTCAATCTGTTTATTTAATTCATTACAAAAAAAATTATTCTGCAATTGAAAGGAATTATCACTTCAGGTTTAAATAAATTATTGTTGACAGCTGGTCATACCAGCAACACCAGTACAGGCAAATCCAAATAGGCATATAATTTTTTTTATTTTTGAACATTTCTTGAAGAAAAAAGAAATCATATGAGAAGTTATTAGAGTATCTATAAAATTAGATATTTTCTAAAACATATGTTATGTGGTGAAAATATAAATACGATTCACCATTCTTTCGTTACGATGTGAATGAAAGAATCCAATGCTGATTTCAAGTCGTTGTAAGCTTGAACTTTTTCCTCGCTTCTACGACAAACTTCATGAGGTTATTGGACTTGTTGAGCCCTGCGACCATCTCTGGAATGCCATCTATAGCTGGGCAGCAGTCGGTCACTTTGGGTCAAAGATGACAAAAAAGGAAATTATAATTACGGTATTACTCATATTTTATGGATCTAAACACTCTATATACAATTACCATTTAATGTTGTATTGCAATTGTGGCACAAATATTTTAAAATGTACATGTACCTAGAAAATACATGTATGACTTTCTTTCATTTGGTCTAATGCCAATTTATCTTGTATCTAGCACAAAAGTGAAACAAGACTGGGTTTTTAGGAAGGCAAGAAATCCAGTATTAATTCAAGTCCCATTTGTGAATAAATGATTTAACTTCTTTGTTATTTCAGGCATGAAATTTTTCAGAAGTGAAGATAACAACACCACTTTAATTAATTTGCATCAATTATTCAGATTAATTTCAAAAGCATTTAAAACTAGTCAATTATTCAGAATAATTTCAAGAGGTTATCTCTACTAAAGTCATACGTAAGGGGGAGCCTGAGGGCCGCAGGGTGTAGTGAGCAGGCGAGGGTGCCCTCCTACTTCCCTACCAACAATTTTCAACCATGGGGGTGTTTCACAAAGATTCAAAGTTGAACTTATCTCCAAGTTGGACTTAACAATTATGGAAAGCTGTTAGCATCTATAAAAATATTTTGTAAAAGTTATTTTAAAAGGCATAAGATGTTGATTCAAATCATTCATATTTTCTACTTTCAAGGAGATTTCATGTTCTTGATGTGGAATTTATAAAAAGTCTAGAATATTTGATTTTTTGCTTAAAAGTCCAACTAAGTTAAGTTCGACTTGGGATCTTTGTGAAACACCCCCCAGATCAAAGACCATAGGTAAAAAAATAATAAAGCTAAATAGATATGCCTGTGGCTTCTGACAGAGGAAAAGTGGAAGGCACCGAACATACCTTGATATTGGCTGTTATCAATTTTGATCGTCAGATAGAAGCTCCTATCATGGTTCTTAGAGTCCACGTTAGTGAAGACAAACTGTAGATGATCACCTGATAAAAAAGAAGAATCACATGACTATATTAATACTGATAATACCTTAAGTTTTTGCAAAGCATGTATAGAAAAGTCTTTGCGTTTTACAATTGATAACAATAAAGATTTTCTAATAAGATTGAGAGTGGGAAAAATATTTTTAAAATTCAAACTGTTTGCCAGGAGTGGTCACTGAGAAATTTTAAAGTAATACAGTGCCTTTTTAACTCCTCATTCTCATTCAAGAATGTGTTTTCAAAATCAATAACGAAATTCCACATTTAGTTTTGCTTTAAAAAAAATTAATTCAGTCCTGCAAAAATATGTAAAATGTACAAGCAGAAAGAACAAAATAAACATCCACAAGTGTGCTCTTTTGAGTTGAGTGACCATATGCCATTTGATTTTCAGTAAATATATATATTTTTTTTTTAATTAAAAAAATCTTTTACTTGGCAATAAATTGGAAATTTCAACAAAAAAATCAAAGGAAAAGAAGAAAAAAAAAACACCCGAAATCAGTTTAATAAGTCAGCTGGTCTTTATGTACAGGTTCCTAACATGCTCAATGTGAATTTCTCTTCAGGAATATTCAAACAGACAGTGACGAATATATAGACAATGGTCTTTCTGACAGGTGGTGACTTAATCAGGTTTGACTGCGTCTAAAAAGACAAATTAGTACTTTTAACCTGTATATAAAGACCAAATGAGTATGAAAACCTTTTTAATTGGGGGTGGGGGTCCTTTGAAAAGTTTCTCATTGGAAAAGAACCGGTACATGAACGTGCACCTCCCTATAAAGACCAAATTTTGTAATGTCTCCCTTGAGCGGTCTTTATACACAAGTTTTGCTTTAGCTAGTCCTCACCATCAATCTTCCTGAACTCTAAAGCCATGATGTCCTTGAAGTAATGCTCAGCTTTATTCAGTGCTTCAAGCCTCTGTCTGGTTGCTCGCTCTTGGGCTTCAATCACTAAAATATGAAGGAATTCAAGAATACAAATACAAATCATTTTACAGCCTACATCACTGTATGGGAGAGAAAAATAAATGATAAATTGATACAGTGATGAGGATGGTGATCATGGTGATGTTGATTATTATGATGTTAATGATGATAGTGATGACAATAATAAATCAATTTTCAAAGTGCCTTTTCCAATTTGCAACTTGGGGCTGGAAATATGATTCTAGTGTGAGCAGTAAATTCTAATATCCCCCTTAAGGCCAGTCAGTATTATATGAATATGAATATGACAATGAAAAAAACAATTAAGGACACTTTCAGAACGGAAATCAACCATGAACATCAGGTACAAGTAATATGGGATGATACACCTATTGATCTACATTGATCTACATTTGCCACTCTCCACCCAAGTGTTAAATGGGTACCCGGTAGGATGCGAAAGTCAATGTGGTTGGATTAGCAAGTTGCGCTTGTAAAATGGCGACTGGTTGGAATGCTCCCAAGAGAGTGGAAAATATGCATTCATTGTGTTGCGGGTAAGCCTGAATCCGATGACCGAAGTAATAATATGTGCTGCGCCTAGAAACAAAGTACAAGGCTTATTATAAATGTGAGCTATTATCATTATTATTATTACCGATGGCACTGTAATGACTACCACAATTTGATTACCAGTAGCAAAGCTTACATTCTTTCTGCTCTCCGCACTGCTTAGTCTCTTCCACCAGCTGTTTTTCCCATTGCTCTTTCTGGAAGAGTAGCTGCTCCGTTGTAGTCCGGGCTTGTTCAATAGCCTTCTCAATGTCCCTGGCTTGGGACTCTTGATTTGCCACAGCTGAAATAAAACCCCAAAATACACTAATAAATATACAAACAGATTTCCCTGGAACTTGGCATTAAATGTTAAATTGTATTTAATTCTGACATCATATATGATTTTTTAAACTTTAAATAACTTAAATATATTTTGATAAGAATAAATACTTTGATAACATTATAAAGATAAAGACTAACCTATGTGAAACCTATCAATAAAATCATCATACTGGCAATTTTGTCATGTCATACATCTAAATGCATATCTTTCTCTAAATGATTTTTACACAAAAAATATTAAAAAAACAAGATACAATGCACACTGTTTGGTTATGATTGGATATTCATTAGATTGAAACCAAAGTAAAACAATTATCAAATATGTATGCCTTTCTGTTTACAAAAATAAAGAAAGAATGAAAACATATTAAAAATCCTACTATGAATACATAGAGTTGGAAATAACCGAGTAGAGTGTCATTACCCTATCTGCGATTAACTTCTTGCACTGTAGGATCTTTTGTCATTTTACACCCAAAAAATAATTGTAATTTATCAAACAACATATTTATTTAAAGAAGCCTGCACAACTGGAGGCCCCTGGTGGTGTAATTTGTGTACATTTTATCTTGTAGTCACATCTTACTTACCTAACTGACTGCTGGAAGCTTGCTGTTTTAATGCTACCATTTCTCCTTTCAGACTTTCAATTTGATCTGTAAAGGAACGGGAAATTGAATTAAAAAGAATTTCAAATGAAACATATGGTATGGTTTAGAAGTTAAAATTCATGAGAAAGAGAGAGAGAGAGAGAGAGAGAGAGAGAGGGAGAGATAATGAGAACGAATCTTTAATTTTATTTATTTTTATGTATTGGGATAAACTAACAAAAATGGATTTTGTCAGGAAACTTCATCTAAAAGAAACATCAACTGCAAACATACGAATGTGATCAAACTGAGCAAAATCAATTTATACAGGAGAAATGAAGACTCAAAGTGATAAAGTAACTTGCTACCAATAAAACCGTGTTCACACAACTTGGGAAGCCTTCTCAAAAGCACCACCACAGCAAAATAAAATTATGTAAGCATAGTGCACTTCTGTATCTTCATTCTTCAAAAACATAGAAAAAAAGAAAAGTGTGCTCTTCCTTTTTATCCAATCCTTATGAACTATTTGTTTACACCTAGACTTTCTTCTACAGCATTCTTTATAATAATTTGATTAACTTTATGTCTGAACAAGGCTCTTGCTCTTAGCAAATCAAATGCCATGATTTCAGTAGCTCATAACAGGAAATATTCTTTTTCTTCTTCTTCTTCAAGAAAATCTGCCTCCTTCAATACTGAAGATTCTTGCAGATGGTGTACGTGTATATACTTGGCCTGATTGGGGTGTGCAGGTGGACCACTACACCGGGGTTTCTATCTACTCTTATACGAATAGTGCAGTGGGTTATCAACGTGCAAGGGTGGTGACTCTCCTATACACATGGCCTCCATTTAACGTCCTATCCGATGGACGTTACTTGTTATTGATAACAAGTATTATGAAACAGGGCCCTGAATGATTTCATCCAATACTCATTGCCTTAATTACCTTCCGCTTGTTTGATGAACTGTCGTAGTTGTCCTTCATTGTGCTTTAGATGCTGGAGAAGGTTTACGCCGGTCCATTGGTTGATGAACTTATCACTGACCTGGCTCAGCTTACTGGAGAGATTGGCAATCTCTTGGTCTGCAACGGTCCCCATCACGCTCCCAGTCATATCAGCATGCGACGTCATGGTAAAGCTAGAAAATAATCATCAGTGATATTGAAATGATTGATTCATTGATGTTAAAACTTCATAATAATTTATGTATCAAGCCATTAATAGCGAGGCAGAAGGAGACAATGAAGTCAACAGACCATACGTAAAGTGCCAATCGTAAACAAAAATGAGATCATTATTTAGCCTGAAAAGTGAGTGGCATCAGGCCAAAAAATAAATTGCTCTAGGAGTCTAGCATTGTTAATGTTATTTTAAACAATATCCATTATCTAATATCTGGCTAAAATGTTCTGAAAGTGAAACAACACGTCTTATTATAATTTTATTAAATTGTCAAGAAATATTCTTGGAAGTTGGAAGATCAAGAAGGAGAAGGAAAAGAAAAAAAAAAAAAAAAGGGAGAAGGAGAAGGAGGGGGAGAAGTAGAAGTAGGGTCTATGAGGAGTAGGACTAGAGGAGGAGGAAAAGAATGAGGAGCTGTACTCATTTTAGGAGAAGAATAACTCAAGTCAGAAGGATGAGGGAGGCGAAGAAGAAGAAGAAAAAGAAGAATATCTAGATCTAGTCTAGATCTAGATCTAGTATAACCTAGACTCTACTAACGATATAATAGTACATTACAATGCAGTTTTGTTCATTAAATTTGCATTGTTTCGGGGGTGCGTACAAAATTGTTTGCGGCGCGGCGATTGTAATATGAATCACAATCACAATACAATTTGGTCACAGTTCGGCGGCCAATCGATCTAACATGATTTTAAACATGTGGGACACTACATAATTCTATAGCGAACATTTCTATATCATAAAGGCATCAAGATTAACATGATTTATTCACAATCATATGATTTATGCTACATAATCATCTTCTTCTTACCTTTGAGAAAAGACATCTACAATAACAGGCAAAACCGCAGCAAATTGTTGTTCGTCTTCGAACACTAGATCTAATTCTAAATCAAAACTTACCGGGAATTTTCACCAAAAATAGTTTTTTAAAGTTTTTTTTAAAGAAATAAAATATTAGTAATTAATACTTTAATAAACAAAAAATATATATTTCATAATTTAAAAGAATTAAAACAATAGTTTTACTTAAGTTTTAAAACCTAAAGTATACAAAAAGTAACAAAATAAGTGCACAGTTCTTACTTACTTTTGTACGGCAACGCAAAGATACTCTCTGTGGATTGATCACATACTTTGCATTGGACTCGACAGCGTAAACAGTCGTTTTGTGTTTTGTATATGATTCCTATATATCTTGTGAGTGAAATAATCGAGCAAAGAAAGACAGAAAACATGCATTCCTTTTTCCTTGGGGTTACATTAGTTATGGGGAAATGAACAAATCACAGCTGTACTGCTTTCAAATAATTAGTATTTTTTCTAAAGTATCGTGTAATTGCTCACATCTCTGTACAGTCAGTCCGCAACGCCCGCGATAATTAGGCAGAATGCCCAAATTTACACAGCACCCGGAAGTGCGATAAACTGTCGTATTTCGTGTCCCGCGATTTGCGAGATTTCGAGAGACTTTTGCACAGGTCAACAAACTTTATCACAGCTGCTATGGCTTTTACTGTGCTGCGTAGCATGTAGGGGTAAGTGAATCTCCATACTTTTCTACGTATTTTGATATGAAATTTTCCTAATTTTACCGCATCTAAGTGATTGTAAATATTCATTGAAATGTGTCCATATTTTCCTTCTTTCGTAGGAGGTATTCTGACATTACCTTGCATTTAGCGTGTTCCTGACTGGTATTAGCAATGTTTTTCCCCAATTTTTTGATTTTTCACAAGAAAAATGTTGGCAGAAGTGAAAAAGCGCAGAGTTCGATTGATGCACGATGTATTTTATTAGCTTTTATGGCCATGAAAGTTACACATTTTTCGATTTTCAACCGGAAGTTGTGTGACGGCTACGTTAAAATCACTCATTTTTGCCGATATGGCGCGAAAAGTGTACGTTTCGCCAACATGGCCGCACTTTCGTAGTCATCACCGTGACCGCGTATCGGTCCCATACATAGCCTTTTCTGTACCGATCCGGCATAAAACAAAGCCATATCTGATCTGGGGCCCTCGACTTACGTGTACTATTCCATTAAATTAGCAAGCTCTCTTGATAATATTTATGCTTAATCCATTTTATTTTTACACGAATTTAACAGTCAACTGTGAGAGTTAAACAGTGACTCTGGCGTCTGGTCAGACTCAGATAATTATATTATTAATTTAGGGATTCTCAAACTAGTTTGGTTGTGCCTTTTGTTTTGGTTCTGGTCAACTCAAACTTTACAACCAGCCATAGAAATAAGCAGCATTTCCCTTGTACGAGTTGTATTATGATTATGAACAAAGCAGAATTGAAACAAAAAGCCAAAGTTAAACACTTACATTTTACAACTTGTGCACATGTGGAAAAATGAAGGGAAAACTTCATGAATTTGACACCTGTAATTTGTTTTCATTAAAAACAATTTTTTAATGCAAGCAGGTTTTGTCTACCATAAATTGACAGCTACTTTGATCAGATCTTTTAAAATCCCCATACCTGAACTAAGCAATTTTATATTCCTTCTTATCATTTGTCATTTGCCAGGACCGAAGAATACAAGAACAGCTTCTATCCTCGTAATGGAATCAACTACCAGCCGGCAGCCACCATCATCAAAGTCAACATCAGCCAAGTCTTTCCATACCAAAGTTTGGAGCTACATGCAGAATGACCACTCAGCGCAGCTGTACACAGGCGGGCTAGAGCGTCGATGTGGCTCTACTTCATCTAAAAATTAGATGATGTCTGCAACCAACTGTATTTTTATGAGCACCTTTTTATTTTTATTTTTGAACTCTGCACCCTCAGTTGTGATGTTTGTTGACAGTTTGCGATGCCACGGAAGTCTGGATGTATATAACAATTGGTCCTGTCCAGTACCACCTTAGATGTAGATGTTGTTGTTTTTCTGACGGATGCAATCAACCATCGAACTTGCGGAACATTGACAACAAATTATCTAAGACACAGACTTCACACATCAGTCTCCATTGCATTCCTGAATCAGCGTTTGCTAGACTTCACATACATGTAGGAACAAACAATCTTGAAAGCGGAGTTTGGGAGAAGGACAAGAAGGATTTTGTTCAGCTTATTCTTTCAGTAACCCATTGCACCATTCATATAAGAGTAGGGGGAAACCCCGGTGTAATGGTCCACCTGCATACCCCCAACCAGGCCGAGTATAATACGGCATCTGCAAGAATCTTCAGTATTGAAGGAGGCAGATTATCTCGAAGAAGAAGAAGAAGAAGAAGAAGAAAGAAAAATCCATTTCAAGTGATTACATTTTTGTATCTCTGATAGTGATACTTCGAAGGTGGGATTCCTGAGCTTTACATGAACAAAGCATTTATTATAATAAAAAACTGATTGAACTGTCACCGTTATACAATTTAAAGATGTTTTACTCAGATAATACTTTTATTCTCAGTGACACATGTTATGCAAGTAATGGTCTCAAGCAGGGTAAAAATTAGTACGTATTTTTCGGGGGCTACTTTTCAAGCTTGCCTGCGTAAAAATAACACTCTAAAATTTGTTTTGCATTGAACTCTATGCAAATTTATGGGGGCTCTTTTCTGATCTTCGGGGGCTCTTTTGGGCATTTCGGGGGCTATTTCGTCCTGAGCCCGTGTATTTTTTTCACTGGTCTCAAGTTCTCAACATACATGTCAAAGTCAGTTTATAAATAAAATATGAATATTATAAAATGGAAATATTATTAGTCCAATTTCATTTATAATTATTTATCATTAGTAGTAGTCTTAATAATATATTTTGTGTTTAACCGGCTATGGTGATAATGATGACGATGGCAATGATCATGATGGCTATGGTGATGACGGTGATTATGATAATGGTGATGGCTATGGTGATAATACTGACGGTGATTATGATGATGGCAATGGTGATAATGCTGACGGTGATTATGATGATGATGGTGATGGCTATGGTAATAATGCTGACAGTGATTAGGATGATGATTATGATGATTGTGATGGCTATGGTGATAATACTGATGGTGATGATCATGATGGCTTTGGTGATAATGATGATGGTGATGGCAATGATCGTGATGGTTATGGTGATAATGCTGACGGTGATTATGATGATGGTGATGGGGATGATCATGATGGCTATGGTGATAATGCTGATGGTGATTGTGATGATGGCAATGGTGATGGCGATGATCATGACAGTGATTATGATGGTGATGTTAATAGTGGTGATGATGATAATGATTGTGATGGCGATGATGACTTTGATGATTGTGATAATGATGTTGAAGGTGAAAATTAAAATATTATTAATTTTATTTGCGCCCTTTCAACCCACCACACATTAAAAATGTTATCCGATAGTCATTACCATACAAACAAAAACAGAAAATAAATGATCAGATATATATTTTGCGGGTCACTATAAAACAAAAACAAACAGAAAAGAGAATAAGGGAAAGAATTTTGTAATTATCTTATTTTTTAAAAATACACATGAACTGGAGTTACATAAATTGACAAAAGAAACATCAAATAAAATATTACTATCAAAGAATGCCTGGGGATTACCAAAATAAATTGATGTTTAAGGCTCTTCTCATGTCATTGATTAGTCCATGGTTTACAATTTAAATAAAAACACATTTCAGAACTTTTACAACCAACCGCCTGCAATACAGCCATGAAATTTAAAAGCAGGGATGGGAACAATCATATTTTCATTTTTCAATGACAATACCAATGCCAATCGCTCCCCCCCCCGCGAATTTTTTTTCCGTACTCGAGAGAGCAAAAATCCCATGTGCGCATGCGCGTGGACTTATGATTTCTCTGCTACTTCCCATACGAAATGTACATGTATTAAACGATGGCATAGTAGTCTTCAAACACAGACTCTGATTTGCCAGTTTGACAAATCAATATGCGTATGTGTCGCGATGTGCTTATTCAAGTCTGTGTAGTTGTATGATTCAGACCCAGTAGTGCATATGGAAATACATTGCAACTTGTATAGAATGGTATAGTAGTCTGCAAGCACAGACGCTAATCTGACAGTTTGACAACATACTAGTAGTGTGCTGAGAAGTACTTTATTCAAGTCGCCAACTTGTATAGAATGGTATAGTAGTCTGCAAGCACAGACGCTAATCTGACAGTTTGACAACATACTAGTAGTGTGCTGAGAAGTACTTTATTCAAGTCTGCGTAGAGAGAGAGAGAGTGAGAGAGCAGTGGCACAACACAGAAAACTACGAAAACTTGAATAAAAGCACTACTCAATACACAATAGGCCTATATTATTCTGTCAAACTGTCAAAGGAGAGTCTGTGCTTGCATACTACTATGCCACTCTATAAGTTGAGGTGCATTTCCAATACACGCACCAGTAGGGTCTGAATCATAAAACTACACATATTTGAATATAAAGCACTACTCAAGACACTATGTTGTCAAACTGTCCGATTAGCGTCTGTGCTTGCAGACTACTATACCATGCTATTCAATTTGGGATGCATTTCTGTAAGCACTAAAATGTCTGAATCATACAACTACTCAGACTTGAATACTAGTACTATTGCTACGCACGATATATGCGTAATTGTTTTGTCAAACTGGCAAATCAGAGTCTGTGTTTGAAGACTACTATGCCATCGTTTACTCGTAGAACGCGAATCGTGCACAGTAGATGCGAATACATGTACATTTCGTATGGGAAGTAGCAGAGAAATCACAAGTCCACGCGCATGCGCACATGGGGTATTTGCCCTCTCGAGTACGGAAAAAAAATTCGCCCCCCCCCCCCCGAAAGTTTGTATTTTCATATATACATTTAAGAAAGAAAATGTATCTTCTTTGTTAAAATGATATCAAAGCCTGGCCAAAAATGACACATAAAGACACTTAAACCCTTCCCATTGTCCCCTATTCATTCTAGAGGTGGTATTCTATAGTGTACTTGATTGTACTTGAGTACGTATCCGCATCCAACTTGTACTCTGCAGCTCTGTAGACTTCTATTATTAAGTAGCGCATAAGTATGATACACAATAATGAGTATATGGGGCAATACAACACCTCTACGTCCGGGGGTTACGCACCAGAGTCTAATACGTGGATATCCCTAATCACCGTCTATCCTCCGTGCGTGTTCATGTACAGCGCACGGACACAGAACATCGATAATCGACGCAAAGCTAGATTTAACGTAGTATCCCCCGGTTGGCACATGACGTCATACTCTGATGACCCACGCATATCGTCTGTATCACCGCTGTTGAATATGTTGGAATGAACATGGTGTTGTATTTACCGTGTTCCTGACTGGTATAAAGAAGTAAAATAAAGGAAACAGTGATGGTTTGAAAGTTTGTATATTTATCATCACAATGAACCAAATTACTTTTTGATGCAGTAGCGTTTTCATATATTTTTTTAATGCTGCATATCGTTAAGTTGCTATGTTTTTTAGACTGTTTTAAATGCTCTTTTTAGAGCATGTTAACGTTAAAAAAATATCTTGATGTTTTGTAAAGATGGATTATTTGGTCTATCTTCTTTATATTGGTACATAAATGAAAAAAATCCATAGAGAAACATTGATGCAATCGTAATTTTCATGTACCAATGTTTTCTGCTTAATGTCCGTTTTTACCGTACATAGCTTGCATACGACTTGTGTAAATACGAGCGAATTCGCGGACGCTGCGGACTGACTGTGTAGTGATATTATATCTCTTTATCTTTTCTCTCCCCCTACCTTTCTCTCTCTCTCTCTCTCTCCCTCCCTCGATTTCTCTCTCCCCCTTGTCTATCCCTATCATCTCTCAGAGCACCCTCCACCCCCCCCCCCTCTCTTCCTCTCTCTCTCTCTCTCTCTCTCTCTCTCTCTCTCTCTCTCTCTCTCTCTCTCTTTATCTCTCTCTCTCTCTCTCTCTCTCTCTCTCTCTCTCTCTCCATCTCCCCCCTCTCTCTCTCTCTCTCTCCCACCTCTCCATCTTCCCCCCTCTCCCATGCACACCTCTCTCTCTCTCTCTCTCTCTCTCTCTCTCTTTCTCTCTCTCTTTCTCTCTCTCTCTCTCTCTTCTCTGCCCTTTCTCTTCTCTCTCTTGGGCTGCCCCATAATATAGCCCAGGGCTATTACATCCCTGTCGCCATTCTCAATATATTACAGTACTGCACATTAATCCAGGGGGACTATTATTAAAGCACAAATGTAATCTTGCAATTTATGTAGTACAAACAATTGCAAGTACATCAATCAGTATAAAATTACCAAATACAAATTAGCTCTCCGAAAGGGGAAAATAAATTCATAAGAATACAATTATTTAGGCACCATTTTCATTCAATTTCCCTTTTCTTACACAAGGGTTACCCTGATGATAATTATAGAGATATTAAAAATATAAGAAAAACTTATCCATTTACACTTTCGTGTTTATACTGCTTTTGCCAAACAAATTCCTCCAAATTTTCTTTCTTTCTGTAAAAAAAAAAATAATAATAACATTGGTGTTTTAAGGCTTTTTTTTAGAAGGAAGCTATTTAAACTATTACCATCTAATGAAACACAGAATAAGTACATAAATCATAAGAGAATACACAATGTAAACAACAACAACATTTTTTTTTCTTTCTTTCTTCTCTATCTGTTGTTAAAGAAATACACAGGCTTTTATAAAATGATTTCAAGGTAATAAAACAATCGTAAAAGGCCCAAGGTTGAATTCATACTTTCGTGAAAGAACATGTTGACTACCGTAATTCAAATGGTACCAATACTTAATATAAGGATATTATAGGACAATTTGCAAGGCATATTTTCATATTTTATAGCTACCCTGTCTCTTAATCTTATAACACACACAATGTCAGTCAGGTGACATTAAGTCAAAGCTATTGTCTTCTTCTTATCTTTATTCTAGTAATCTTCAAAAGGCTATATATGCAGCCTATATAACAGAGATGAACAACTTTAACCCTAAAAAGGCCGGGCTATTTGAGGTCTTAGTATGGCCGGGCCGGGGCCATTATGCCCCCCCCCCCCCCTTAAGATCTCGGACGCGGAGCGGCCGATCGCCGCGAAAATTTGCACGCATGTCAAGTGAAGTGTATAGAATAATATGATAATTTCAATTTTTTGAAAAATTCACTCATTTGCATATTTATGGTAATTTATGCAAATAAAGTCATAAAAATCACATTTTTACCCATAAATCATATATTATTCATATATAAGCATTCTTTTTCACTAAATGTATTCATTAGACCATTCTGAATAATAATACGACAAAAAAAATTGGAAGAGCCAGCTTATTCCTTATGTTATCCCTTTTGTAATTTCTTATGTATTTCATTGTTTTTTAACTTAGGTATTTCATTGTTTTTGTTGTTTTATTTCATTTCTTACTACAATTCAACTATTTTGACTCCAAAAACAACACCTAAACTTTAAACAAGACCCAATAACCCATGTTTGATCTGGTTTTAGGAAAAATGACTTTTCCATATGTTTTGTACACAAATCACGAAAATGAGCGATTTTCGGGCTGACATGCAAAGACAAAAGGTCACATGACCTTGTAACCGCAGGTCCGATTTTCAAAAAAATTCTTTTAAAAGTTGCGCAAGACTCGAAAGAAAAAAGTCAACCAGCGCCATCCGTATGCGTTCCCGAGCAATCGGAAAAATCGTGGAGGGGGGGGGGCCATAATGGC